TAACGGCTCTTTTCCTCGTTAACTGTGAGAAGTTAATCAACGCTGCAGCTGGCTAGGCCCTCTCCTCACCTTTCTGCAGCCATCAGCTACATTTTCTATTGCCTTTTTGCAACACAAACTGCAAATTTAAGTGCTTTAACATAGCGATGGCGTAGGCGAGGGCTTTTCCGTACAAGGCCTTGTGACACGGTGAAATAAAGCCCCTCTCCAGACCCAGCTGGGGGAGCATCTCCCTTGCGGGGGGACGCGGGCCGAGGGCAGTACAGCCTCAGGCGAGGGCTGGGGACAAGCAGGGACATCCTTGGGCTCCTGTGCCCCCTTTCCAAACTACACTTGCCCCTGGGGCTTGCCATGAAGCTGCTCTGAACGCTGAACTTACCAGAACAGCTTTCTCACAGAGGAGTATTTTTAGTAGAAATACTCCTCCAAGGGCAGGACAGGTAAAGCACTTTCTCTCCAGTGTGAATTTTTCCTTTAACACCATACATTGAAGGATTTAAAACAACACATCCCAGATTTGTGAATGAAAATACGAGCTTTACAACCGCATAGTAAGTGTAGGCTCTTGTATTTCAGTTTAGGACTATATAATTTTATAGAGTACCAAAATAAGCAAAGGATCAGCACTCCGTACAAAGTGTTAGTTCCTGTGCGGAGGGTAGAAGGGAGAGGGACTTTAATTACACTATACTGTTTTTTGCAATTCTAAAGAAAATTCCATTTCCAGCAAAACAGATCTGGGTTCCGATTCCCCACGTTTCTAGCTCATTAAGTAGTGTTTCTTTCAAGACATTTACATTGCTCTCATTCGAAGTCAAGGGATGATTTAAAGCACTGTTAACAAGGAGGTGGTGCTGTTAATGTTTAATGTCAATACGCAATGTCATCTGCTATAAAGGCCAGAAGAGCGACACAACGTTATCTTTACTGCTGCGGAGTACCAGGAACCGACTAACAGAGGCGGCAAGTTCCAGGCGCGCCACCGACGCCAGGTCTGGGCTGCGGCCGGGAGGCTCTGCCAGCCTGAGCCCTGCCCAGGGAGCGCGGCAGCACACCCCGCACCCCGGGGGGGACACGTGTTCCCGCATCTGCACCGCCAGCCTGACCTACGGCGGTCACAGCTCTGCCCCATCGTACAGCATTGAAATGTGAGGAAAGCAGCAGCCAACATCGCCACTATAATTTTACAAAAAGCGTAAATCTGAAGAGCAGTTAAAACAACTTGAAGCTCTCCCTTTAACTCCAGGATTCGTTCTCCACGACAACCCTCCTCCTCTCCTACTCCCTGTCCAGTTTCTCGCCCCGCTCCTTCCCTAATGACCATTTTACAACAAATAGGTTAAGTGGATTTACATGATGCAAGCGCAACTCAAAGACTTTTGCCCTATACATATAACCACGTTGAATTGTGAGATTATACACGTGATATACCTCTGACAGAGCAACCACCGGTTTAGATTTTTAAAGAAACACAAGTATTTCAGCATGTACACAGTAATGAGTTTTAAACTGTCCAACATCATCGCTTTCATACATTCTGTTCCTTTTTATAGCCTTAAAGGGATTTTAGACCTTGACGGCAACAATCCCAAAACAAGAGTAAAGTGAATTTATTTTATTGCAAACAAACGTCTAGAGTTAAATTTCTCCACCCACTTTCTTTAAAGAGAAAAGGAATCAGCAGGCTAAGGAGATACACCCATTTGAGAATTGACATGATTAAAAATTAGATATAAAATGGGTGACTCACAGTTTCATTAGCTTACAAAATGGTGGAGTAACTACTACAAGCACACTAGGTATACAGTATTTTTTTGTTTAATAAGAAATGGGCAAAGCCAGCTTCTTTTCAGAATCAAAATGCAGAACAAATGGAAAAAAATTATGGTGTTGTACCTTCACAAGTTTGAGCCTCCACAAATAGTGCAACCAAGTTTTACAACTTTGAGAGCTTCTACATACACTCCACCTTCGCTACTGAGCCCCAGGTGACCTCTTTGCCCCCGACTTCTCATTTGAGTTCCAAATGTTACAAAAAAGTCCTAGTTATTGCCAGAAACTTTCACCTCCCCTCCTCCCCTCCCCACCCAGCAGCTTCATAGAGAGGATGGAGTGTAATATGGAGCTTTACAGAATCGCATGGTGTTCGTGAGGGCTGCTCAGGAGCCTCCGTACGCATCTGGTTGCTAACATTTGTATTGTGACACGACTCACGACTGTTTCTTAGAAATTGGGGGATGGGGAAAAAGGAGAAAATTCTTTAATAAAAAGACACCAGGTACAAAGCAACGTTTTACTTTTGTTGTGGTAAAAAAAAAAGTCACATTTTACAGATAAAATGTAGAACCCTGAAATACTGACACATTCTCTTATCGTGCACAATGCTGAGGTTCTCTTACGAATCACTTTAAAACTGCAATTAAAAATGTACAAAAAAAGAAAAAGAAAAAAATCAACCCACAAAGCTTCTAAAAAAGGAACCCGCAGGCACTTCCTCTTGTGGAATGTTTAAAAAGTTAGCCTACTAAAGAAAACAGTCGACTTCTTGTGAAGGTTTTGGAGAAATATGTATCAGTTCATTTATTTGGGTATTCAATAATATCCTTGGTGATAATGCTGACTCCATGGCTTCTGACCCCAGAATTGCTGCAATAAATGGATAAATAGTTAATTTTAACCTGTAATCACACAAGGGTTACATCTCTTACAGAAAATCAAGTGTTTAACGAACACCTAGTTCTCCTGGAGCTTTAGCAGACTGAAGTCCTCTCAAGTAACAGCAAGTTCCTAAAAACTGAAGGCAGTTAAGAGCTTGCTTCACAGCAGTAACGTGAAGCCAAATACTACATACCATTAAGACCAACAAGCCATAGCTGTTACTTGATAGGTCAAGACCATCAAGCCAGATTAAGTTTTGCACAGAAAACTATTTATAGTGGTATTACCTAGCATTAGAAGATTTTGCTAACCAGTCTTGATTACACATCTAGTTATTTCAGACAGTGTTGTGAAACATTCAAGTTAACGCTCAGTGAAAAGGCAAAGTTCCGACTACTTACACCCTGCTGCCACTGGTTGTAGCCCTGAGATTGGTTTTTGTAGCCACGATTATTTCCCCTTCCTCTGAAGTTCTGCAAGAAGACAACAGTTTTCAACTACTGCATCTATACGGGTTTTTCGAAGTGTACAAATATCAACCTTCCTATTACCACCAAAACATCACATGCTATACAGAACTTTAAAACACAAGGTATCAGGCCTAGGTTAAAACAAACAAAGCACCTCCCTAAAAAACATCAGAATACCCTCCCCCTCCAAGCAACTGCTTCTGAAACACAGGACAAGAGCCTCAGAATTAACAAACCAGCTCCAACTGTTGTTGCCAGTGGTCTGGAAAGCTGGCTAATCCAGTTTTGACTCACCCCATTTCCAGCTGCTAAACTGCACCAGGACAACTAAAAATACAAGAGCTTGCCTATTTTTAGTTAGGAAAGGCTGTAGCTGCTACAAGGATGTGTTATCTCATAAGACAAAAGGATATGGGTCATACAACTGAAAATAGAAGAGCTAGTCCTCAAAACTCCAAATAAAAGTTATGGTACAAAACAGGGACATTGCTACTACTAGATAAAATAGTGCATTTCCCCTGTTTGTCAGGGTCGGACAAACCTGAGCCATGTTTACCAGCTTGGGCTCCATCTGCTGGCTCTTCAGCAATCCAAACCACCTTTTCAAATACTTCCACCGATATTCCATCGGTTAATACCTACGCTACTATGTCTTTACTAGCTGCGTTTGATACTAGACACGAAAACAAAGACTCTCTCCAGAGCTATTTCCAGAAAGTTACCCCCACATCTGCATCAGAACTGCCCACACAACATTCAAAGCTCTGGGGACATCACTAAACCGGAAAGCTAGGCCTTTTAGTGGGGGATTAGTGCAGCCCCACAGCCCAGTCTGTGGCTATTCACATCCACCAAACCTTTCAAACATCATCATCAGGGGTACTGTACTTCAACTAATCAACCCCCCAGAAGCATCACCTGGTTGTAGTTTCCCCTGTTGGGCATGCCACCTCTGTTATAGTTTCCTCTGTTTGTGAAGCCACCTCTGCTTGGAAAGACAGGGCCACGCGGATACGGGTAGCCGATTGCCCCACTGCTGCCACCGCCGCCGCCACCACCGCCACCGCCTCGCTGAGGCATGTTGCCTCCCCTCCTGTTGTATCCACCACGATTGCCAGGGACTGCAGGGAGAGAGTTACTTCCATCAAGTAACTGTTTGGGCTGCAGTACTACTTATGTGAAGATTATTCAAAATAATGATGGCACAGATAGAAGATGTCCAAATTCAGTGCAAAAATTTCAATGCAAAGATTAAGTCATCTGGTCAGAGTGAAAAATGGTAATTTAACCATGTGCTACCCGCCCCCCCCGTACAGTCTGGTATATAAGCTAACACCAAATCTAACAAAAACTCAAAGCTGTGCCTCAAACCACAACAGTGTAATCTAGGATTTTGACAATCCTCATTTTGAAAGCTGGACAATTAACTTTGCACTGACACATTAAACATGCTGACATCAAGGTTCCCACTACATAATAACTGCAATGCAAGTACTACAACCTCTCCCCCCCCCGCCAGCTGCAGCAACCTGTAAAATTCACAGGCTTATTTCTAGGCTCACCTCCTCCTCTGAAGTTGCCCCGCATGTTGAATCCTCCACGCCCTCTCTGACCCCTATTAAACTGATTTTTATTGCTCTTCTTGTTCTTCTTTGAGCCAGTGTTCTGTTTCTTTTCTGGCGGGAGAGATTTCTTACTTTCTTCTTTATATTGCTCCAAAAGCTTCTGAGCTTCTTCTTTTTGCAACTCTACATAGATTATCTCATCAAAACATTCTGCTACCTCTGGCAGTGTGAAGTTCCCTATAATTGCAAAAACACTGAGTATTCAGCATCTACATTCAGCTACAATCTAAGACATAATTTAACCACCTTTCTCCAATTCTTCATCCCACCCCCTGCATTCCCTCAGCATTGGGACAAAATTACGTAATTTGAACATTTAAGAAATGTAACAGTGACAAAAGGAATAAACAGATCTTCATGGAGTTGCCAGTACTGTTCCAGACCTTGAAAACATTCTGCCTGTATCTTTTTTTCTTTTATAAGCCTCCACTCAGAATACCAGTTTCTGCCAAATATGTCACTTCTATAGGGCACTTTATGCCAAGACAGCTTTGTGCATCTGCATGAAGCATATCAGCATAACTGAGTAGTGTTAAGGACTGCAGCAGAGGGAACACAATATAGTGTTATCCTACAAGTTACAGTAGTCTTCCAGTTTTGTTTAAGTACAGCTGTTTAAGATAAAGTGATTTTTTAGACTTCACGTTTACGTAATCCTTTAAACAGATACTCAGCATCCTAGAACACGGTATAGGATTATGTTCCATGCCTTTCATTTTGAGAACTGCATGCTCTGGAAGATCTTTTCCCTCCACCTCTGCCTTCTTTTGTGTTCTTTGCTTGTAGTCTTCATCTTTTGGGCAAACAACAACTGCTTTGCGCTGGAAGCCTGCAAACAGGCACATTTTTCTCCTCTGCGCAGCTGCAGACACATTTGTCTGAAAAAAATGCAGTAACTTACTACACGTAGCTGTCATTGTAAGAGTTAAGGAAGTCAACTTATGGTGTATAGACTTCACCTCTACAAGAGCTTGCAATGAAGTTTACAAATAACTGGACATAAAGATGCTGCATAATGCAAAGTTACGAGCTCATATTCACGTGTTAAAACACTAATCCTCCCACATCCCATAAATCCAAAGCAGTTCAGACAAACATTTGTAGTAATATCTCAACTTTGTGTCCCCTGAATGAGTAGTAAGTCAGTAAGTGAAACCACCACTATTACAATGTAACTTTAATCCCATTTAATTACCACACTACAGCCTACAACACATTTCCTTAACCATTTTTCACTGAAGCTTCTACCTGATCCAAAATGAAATTCCGCTTCTTACGAGCTGCAATCTCAATGAACTTTCCAAGACACTGTGGAGCTCTCTGCAACAGTGTGTTAAGTTTTCCAGTGTCCGCCATCTGCCGCTTAAAACCTGCAACCTACGGAGAGATTTCCCAGAGTTGAAGCAGCCCTTGTACATGTGGCCAACATTTTTCTTTGCTGAATACTTTTTACCTCCCTTCAAGGACTGTTCGATTCAAGGCCACGCCTACAATCTCATAACTGAAATTCCCAAAGTCTTCATAAGACAAAGAGCTTTTTAAACAAACAATCTAGGTGAATCAATACAGCTGAATCTAAGGTATACTCATCACATCACTAATTCAAAGCTACATGCTCTGAGGACAGTGATATAAAAAACAGAAGTAAAAATACTTACACAGTCAACAGCAGCTGACTATTTCTTATATAGTACCAAAAAAAGCTTCAGAATCCTGCTGTGCCATGCATAAGCAGTGGCTCGGCAAGATAAAACTCTTTAATAGTCACTAGCTAACCAGCAGCTGGTTTCTTACATTTCTTTGATACAAAAGAAGCCCATGGCAGCCAAAGACCCTGAATTTACAGCAAGTCTTTAACATATCAACAAATAAAATGTCGTATTATCACTTACCATCATTTTGTCCATAATAGTATTTGTCCCAAGAATGTTGTATTTCCCGGGATTGGCTGCTGCATGTTTAGTAACCCATGTAGTCTTGCCAGCTCCAGGCAAGCCAATCATCATCACCACCTAGGATGACAGGTTCTATACTTGAGATACTAGTTCAAAGATTTTCTTCAGCATTCAACTTAGACCAGCAAGCCTAATGGAAACTGGAGAGGGTGGTGGTGTGTGTGTGTGTGGAGGGGGGTGTGTGAAGAGTCATGGGATGCCAGATACTAAAACCCCCACACAAAAAGGTCCGAGTTGTGTAACAGCCTGCTTAAACTCCACTGCTTCTGTTCATTTATCTCAACAACTCAGAGGTTACCAACAAGAAACTTACCTCACAATCTTTCTTTTGCTCAGGTCCCTTTGGTCCTCGGACCCTGTCCTCCAGGGCAACCTTCTGGATGAAGGTATACTCTTCAGGTACAGGAAAGTAAGGTTCCTCCTTCTGACCAAAGTTGAACTCAACTGCACAGTTATGGCAGAGAACGTGTGGGAAGAGTGGCCGCCCATCAAGAACTTCCTTACTTATTTTGAAGGCAACACCAAGCTCTTGTCCGTTCTTGGAATACGAGAGTTCCACTTCATCACCATCGAAATTCTGGTTTTCAAACAAAGTGTTAGTTTGGATAAAATGACTCACCTCGCTCTTTAAAGCTGTATTAGTCATTTCACTATACTGACTACATTCTCTCAACTTCTGTAACACTCTTACACCATGAAGGAACTACTTCAAGTTTTCTCTTGAGTTACTGTCAATGATAATCTCTTTTAAGATCTGATTTTTTTTGAAGGCTTTAAAGACATTTGTCTGTGAATACAAAATCTTAACATGTTGACGGCAGTCATTGTTGATAATACCTGCCATTTCAACCTCCTCCCTAGGTTAAACAACTTGTCCTGCTCCAAGTTTTTCTGTACTTGGCTTACTGCTTCTCAAATCAAAGTGGTCTAAAAATTCAGGGATGTTTTTCCTCAAAAGAAAACGTAAGTGAAAACTTACAGCAAAACATCCGATCACATCATTTTCATCAAACTTCTCACCAAAGTCTTCGGTCTCACAATTGCATGTCTTTATTCCTTTTAGAGAATACCCATAAGAAAATTCTTCTTCACCTGAAGAAATAATTTAAGCTTCTTAAAAATTGGTATTTTCACCCAACCTTTTAGAAATACAATCGCTTTACAGCTACTTAAGTAAGCCGCTGTTCAGAATGTTTTTATTAATGCCAAAACAAACTGTGACCCCCCAAACACCTACAGCTTGTTCCTGTATTCAAAAATACTCTCACTTGAGGTGGAACAGCATTGCTTCCCCCATACCAGTTTGAAGAGCCTCATGCTGCTGGTTCCAGACTCAGGCTGACATAAAGCCGAACTGTCAGATAGAGACATAACTAAGTATTTTTAAACTCTGAAGACCTGATTATGCACTGGTATACCTGTAACGCAGATAGTCAGAAAGGCTTTCTGAATTTAGACTCCAGGAGCACTTACCCCTCCCCATTTTAAAGGGAGTTCAGCAGACATTCAGCATATACGACAGCTGAGGATGAAGCTGCAAGGTACAAGCTAACAGGAAGTGTCAAACACAAGGACTCAGGCGGAACTTTAAGTACTTAAGTAGAAAGCTGCTGCTGCTGTCAGAACATACCAGTTCATACACATTTCCCACAAAGATATCTCTCAGCAGCAGGTATTAGTTATAAATACCACTGTGATCAGTTCTCATGTATCTAATGAAGCTGTACTTCCTCCTACCTACTTCCAGAAATGAAGATTCTCCACCCAAGCCAAAAGAATGATAGTGCAGTTATCCAGGATTTTTTTTCCCACTGGTTGTCTCTTACACTCCGCCCCATCTTTTTTTTTTTTTTTTAAAAAAGGGGGGGAACTCTCTTCCTATTTCTGACACTACATGGGAAGGAGAAATCCTTACATCCTTCAGGAATGTTTTGCACAACCCATACCTGACCAGTGAAAGAATTAACTCTCAAATCATGTAATCCTTGCACATCTGAATACTTAACGGCTTTATTTGGTCCCAGTAACAAACTTTCTCGCACCATGTCCAGTGAACGATTGAAGTTAAGACCACTCTTCAGAGCACAAGGACTACAATCACTAAGCTTTTCCCTTCCACTTAAGAAAAAATGACTTAAAAATCTCAACCACGTACACAGTAAATAATACAAAAGTAATCAAATGCTGAAGTCTTACCAAGCAACATTCCGCTTGTGTTCAGTGACCAGCCAACTCGCACTTCATGTATGTCAATGTCTTTTGTATACAGGTGTTTAACAGGAATCTTTTCTGTAACCTATTTTTAAATTATTCATTAAAAGGTATGTAGTATTTATTAGACACTAACAAGATGGAAACACAAAGGTAGCATATGTAACCTTTCCACTATGGTTAAATCTTTGCTAAGTCTGAGTAATCACCTTTTGCAAAAATAAAACATGCTTAAGTATGTGAAATCACCAGCCAATCACTAAATCGTTACACCTCCTGATTGAGCAGCGAAGATGCGAGATACCATATACCTTCAAAGCACTTAGTCATAGCAGTTCCTCTCAGCAGCCAAAAGCCTTAACACTTTCGATACTGTATTAAAATCACAAACAGGATGTATACATATTTTTTTACAAAATAGATCACCATAAAGTTGGTATTAACAGTATATTACTTTGCCAACAGAATGTGGTAATGGATTAAAAAAAAGAACGCTTTACACAGACTGAGGAAAATATTACTCTCATCCCTTTCCACAGCAAGCAGACTTCCTGGGCAAGCTGCCAGCTTCCAAACAACATAACCAGATTCAAAAAAACCCCACCTAAAAGCAATGGAATCTGCAGGCAACTAGCTATTTTCTAACTGCCTTTACAAACTTCACCAAACTGAAGCAAGAAACTGATCCGTATCCTACCAGTTTCCACAACTATTTGAGTCACGTGACCGAGGTGAAACTGATTCGAAAGTGAAGGGGGGCAATAAATACTGACATCAATTTCACTTCATTGGCCTTCCACAGTGAGAGGTGCCAACAGACACACAAATCACTCAATGCAAGAGCATGGAGAAAGGGATCACTACCCACTCCTCATGGTAGTGGTTAGATTTGAACGTACTAGAGAAAGAGAACAGAGTAAGCATTTATATACACAGGCACATCATACGCAAAGAAGCCTTTAATATTGCGAAGTGAGAAAAAAAGTATAAATCAACCTTTGTGCCTCCAGCTATTCTTTTGTCAACAAGTTGGAGAAATCCATTTATTACAAGGCTGAATGCTCTTTGCCATTCTTACCCTTTAGCAGAACTCTTGCACTCAAAATTCAACAATATTCATTGCATACATAAGTCAGAATTACTCAGGCTGGAAGGGACCTCTGGAGGTCATCTAGCCCAAATCCCTGCTTAGAGCAGGTCCAACTCAAAGACTAAGTAAGAACAGAAAAAGGGCTGCTGGGATAATTTATACCCCCTTTAAAAAAAAAAAAAGCTAAGCTTTCTGTAATCTTCAGAAAGTACAAGAAAACTTCTTACCAGTAAGTATGAAAATTCTGCAGGTGTTGATGCATGACATGCCAAATAAAATCCTTGGTTCAAAACTGAGACCAGAAACTACACATTTCGGGCAAATGCAAGCTGCCTTTTTTTGTTAAATGGAAGTTCTTATAAAAGAGGAAGCAGTTTTGCAAATTGAGCCATCTTTTATCAAGAATCCTTTAACAGGCTCACAAGAGAAGGCCGCCTGAAAGTTCTGTTCACTTTAGTTTCAACTAAGTACAAAAAAACCCCCTGAAAAGTATAAACAATATTACATTTAGGCACACAAAACAGCCTCCCACAAAACATCAGTTTAACTCACCTTCATCTCAAAGCAGACTTTGCCTTTGGAAACTCCGTACGAGGCTCTCCCTCCAGCCCAAAGGAAAGCAAAGCTTTCCATGGTCAGGGAGGAAGCGCTAAACCGGTCTCTTGAGATTTTAAAATGCAGGTCACAGTTATCTGTTAACATAAAAATCGTTGTTTATTCTTACTACAAAATAAAGCACAGCAGTCTAATTTTATGCATTAGAGGTGACTTCAGCTTTCAAAGGAGATTTTCAAGACAAACTGCCAGCAAGTGCTCAGCACCTTTCAGGAAAGCAACTGAACACAGGCCTAGATAGAGCTGCAGGCTGACACTCAGCCAAAAATCCTGCAAAAAGCTAGTTAACAAGAATAATTTTAAAGGTGCCACCTTCACTTCTGCCACCAAATTCCCCTCTATTTCTTCCATCTGCTTAAAAACTTTAATTTCACCTCATCTATTTAAACCTTTTTGGTCAGTTGCCTTAAGATACTTCCATCAGCACAGGGCAAAGGAACCCACATTGTGTTCTTTGCATTATTTGCTAGACACTTTTTTTTGAAGCGGTCTTACCTCTCATGCCCAAACCTAAGGGCAGCTGAGAAATAAATAGTAACACAAGTATTTTTGTTTAAGTACTGCAAGTAGTCTTTGGTTAATATAGTTATTTAGCAAGTCCAATTAGATTAAGCCAATTAAAATAGTCAGTTAAGTCAAATGCAGACAGGTTAAGCACGCAGAAATGTGGTAAGAGAACCTACTTCACCCAAGTAACACAATCTGCACTATGAATTCACCTATCCCTGTAAGAACTTAAGTGGAACCTTTGTACTACAGACATCTTCACAGCTGCAGCACCATGAAGTTTCAAACTGAGCTTCTAGTAGGTTTCAAAAAGACAATGCAAAATGGTAAGGTGAATCCACAGAAGAAACTCCAAACCTATTCAACAGTTACAAGAATGGAGCAAAATTAGCAAACAGTGAATTGTTCTGCCCTTGTATAAAATCTACATGCTGCCCGCATACCCCGAAATGCAGTCTTCCCTGTATTACTGGTAACTCTCATGCATGAGATCATCTTTTTGTTTGCATAAAGCCATCCCTAGTTGCAACTACAATATCTGTGATAGAAGTACTAAGGAGTAAATACTTGTATTTCTTGCATGAAAACCAGATGAAGTCATACAGAAGAAACCCACCTGTGCAGGTTACTTTTAGAACAACAAACGAGAACAGAACCTGAGGTTACAGCTTCCTTGCAAGAGACAAAAAAACATTTAAGAGTGCTAAACCTCTTCTATGTCTGGATCATTACGGTCCAGAAAAGAGAGCGCCAAGTTGTTACACAATTCAGTCTTAAAGCTATGTTTGATTCTGATCTCCAAGCAGTCTGTTGACACTCCAAACTAAATAACAAAGTTTGTCTTGTAACAAAACTTTCTACTGGAAATAGTAATAGTGAGAAGTAGCTACTACTACTCAGGTACCGGGAAAATCAGAAGCTCCCACAAAGGTGGCTACTCACCAGAGTGGCAGCTAGAAACCTGAGATTTAGTTACCAAATATTAAGGATGGCATATTCAGCAATTTACGTGGCTGTATACTAATACCTCCTTCCATTTCAAAACACTTCTTGGGGAAAAAAAAACCACCTGGAACTATTACACCAGATAATGCTAAAATTTAAGCTTTCTGTCCATTCCTTTAAGAATGCAACATGTTCAAACATCACTTACTCAAGTTTCTTAATACTGCACAAAGTCCTTATACTTACCCTCAAGAACGGGTATGTCAAGTCTGCCCCAGCCGTGGCACATCACAATCACAGGAACATCTGCACCAACCCCCCCCCCGCTGTCTGCAGGTACTTGTCAAGTTCTACACCCTTCTGACCAATTCTCTCTGACATTCCATCCACACAAATCACCTCCCTGCTCCACAAACTTCCAGACTGCATAAATGAGTCATTTTTCAGGAGACCTTACCTGATTTTTTGGTTAGATTTATCAGAAAACATGAGAAAAATACTCCAGTGGTTGGTACATAAATATGGCCTCAGCAAGTTATGCAAGACGCTCACTTCACAAACTGTACTGCTGTAGCCATCTACACTATTGACTCTTTGAACTTTCTGAGGTGAAGAGCTCACGTGCTTTGTAATTAAGGTTCACACACTGTTTCTAGGGTGTTCTATGCTCGCTCTACACTTGGCCAGCTTAGTTTCCATACTAGCTCAGTGTTGTCGTTAAGATTTCTTCAGAAAAACGGTATGATTGATCAGAGATTTCATGAGGAAACACCAAACTTATGACTGCTAACATAACCATGTATTCCATGGTTATATGTACCCATATCCTTCTGTTCTTTTGTATACTGAAAGTATATTACTTGGTAATGAAAGTCAACAAATGCATTCACACCTTTAGAAAGTGTGGTTTTAAGATTAAAAGTGCTACACCACATCTTTCCAGAGTAAAGGAAAGCATGTTTACTCACAAGTATCAAGACACACCACTGTGTCATCAAAATGTTCATCTTCTTCTTCAACGGGTGGTTGAGGGGACTTGGCCCTGAACAACACAAAAACAAACAAGCAAAAAAGAAACTGAAGCTACTTACATTTTCAATGTGCAAACATAAGCATTTCTGTAACTTACTTCTTGTTTGCAAAGTGCTGCTCAGCACCAGGAGTTTGTTTACCTGCTGTACTTGTTTTCTTCAATGTATTCAAAATATCCACGGCCATGGTCTTCACGTGGTCTCTTCACTCCCCTCTTTTTCTCACCAGGTTTTTGTTCCGTTTTGGCATCTCCTGTAACAGAATTAATGATTTAATTACACAAGGCAACTCTTTAATTGGGAACAAAACCCTGTACCACGGTTCTGGCTTGGGAAACGGTGAAGAACCTACAGCGCAAGAAAAGCAATCGCGCCCCGAAGCAGAATTTTGCTTTGCGCCACGTTAAAAAAAAAACCAAAAAAACCCGTCTCGAATTTTCTCAGAAATCCTCTGCTGAACGGCCTCCGGCCGGCGCAGCGCCCGCCACCC